TTTCAATGGGTAGAAGACACTCCCTTTTATAGCCGATGGAAGCTCCTCCTTCCCAAGAAACCCTAAAAGCTTTTCTCCAATTTTCCCAAGTCTCACCTTCCCTTTTTCTTCTCTCATTTCGATTCATCCTCTTTTATGCCATTTTCCTTAGTCCAAACACACCAAGACAAGGTTTTTGGGAGCTCTAAAGCCTTCCTGCAGCTATTCCAGCATTGAACTCCTATTTTTGGTTATCATCTCACCTTCTTTCCTTCCCTCTTCTATGGCCATACCTGGTGGGAGAAAGAAATTGGTAAGGGCGCTGGTCTGAATGGTGTTTTGCTCAAGTATCCTTTGGTTTTTTGGATGGTTTGTGTTGGGATTTGTCTTTGGCCATGTGCTGGAGGCTCCCAGCAGTCCACTCACATGGGTAGCTTTGGTTTTGTTGTTGTTTTTGTTTCCAGCTAAGTGCTCGAGAGATGGCAGATATTTTTCTTGGTTACTTGGGCCTCTCTAAGGTGATGGGTTAGCCTATTAAGGGGATGAGCTAATTTCCTAAAGTGATGGGCTACTTTATTAAGGTGAAGGGCTAATTTTTCTAGAGTATTGGGCTTCCTTTTCTCTCTCTTTTATGCTTACCCACATATTTGGGCTCAAGAAATGGGCTTGAGTTTTGGGCTCCCAAGAAACCCCAAACTTCAATTTCTCGGCTCATCAATGGGCCTTATGAAAGCTTGTTACCATCCATACCACAACCCACTCAGCAAGCCCTGAGCATTTGCGTGGCTTGGGCCCACTTAAGCTTGTAGCGTGGCTAGGTATAAAATAATGATCTTTCGCTTGGCATGACATGTCGCTTGGCGTGCTTGAATTTTGTCGTCTTTGAAAAGAGACATAATGCTTGACAAAATAATTAGCATGAGCTTGTAGAGCCAATGCCTTTTATAGGCTCATTTTAATTCCTAGCATGATAAATTGTATATTTATTTGGCATGGCACGTGATCGTGGCTTGTGAAAGCGTGCATGACGAATTCCGCATGCTCTGAATCGGGTTTCTTCTTAATAAGTTGTCGCACTGGGTCGGGAATTTATTTGGGCCCAACCCTTGATTTTTTGGGCCTCAACAATTATATACACTAAAAGCACTTCTGATAAAGCTTCACTAAACACTTTGACTACTTAAAGCACAGCAGAAAGAGTTTTTTTTTAAAAATCACATTAATACCAAACTAGCCCAAAGGGCTTGTTTAGGACTGCTTCTTTAGGAAGTGCTTTTGTTCAAAAGCGCTTATAATAAAAGCGCTTTCATTGGAAAAATCTTAAATTTTCATAAAAAAATCCCAGTGCTTCCTAGAAAAGCACTTGGGAGTGCTTCTCTAGAAAGCGCTTTTATGACCCAGAAGCGCTTCTAAACTTTCTGTTAAGTAAAATAACACGTGTAAAAAAAATAAATAAATAAAGAGGGTGGGTATAGGGGAAATGGAAACATGGATTATCGAAAAAAAAATAATTGGTGTGGAGTTTCAATTTCATCAATTTACAACTGAATGTTTCAAGATTTAATCAAATTTTTAATTCCATCATCTAATTTTGTGTTAAATTGATGATGTGGCGAGTGAGGGACCACTTTTGAGATAATGTGTCAATAAAATAATAAAATATGATATATATATTTTTTTCATATAACAAAATAACTTTTTAAAAAGATTATTAAAACAACGATACCCGCCGAAACCATCCTCCACCTCCTCCCACACCTTCCAGCCACCATTCCCAACGATACCCGATCACTTCTCCGACACATACCAAAATCAAGCTTAACAAAGCTATTGGGGACGTGAGATCCAGCTGGTCTTGAAGCCACAGGAGGCGCAAATGTCGAAATTGGGGACGAACTCGGAGGGTAGGGCTTGGTAGGCGGCCCAGCAGGACTCGGAGGCGTTGCGTGGGGGGTTCATATGGCAGCCGTCACATTGAATGCATTCAGAAGTAGTCTTCTTCTCCAAATTTTTTTTGTCTCTGGTTGTTGCGGGTTTCTTTCAAAGGTTAGTTTCTTCTTTTTCTTAGTCTTTCATGCATTATTATTGGGTTTGATTGTCGTTTGCAATGGAAACAAATAAAAATTCATCTGGTATGTAGTGAACTGTTGGGTCGATTAATAATTTGATTGTTGTATAATCTATTTCTTCCTGAATGTTTGCTGTTGTATTTCGTCCTTTTAGTCAGCACCAGCATAACTATAGCTTTATATCATTTTCGACTGTAAGATGTTCGATAAAATGTCTAGCTCAGATTGTGTTCTAGAGCAATGCCATTTTTGTTGTTTTTCAAGCAAATAATTCGGGAAGCTAATTGCTAAGGTCGTTTCTCTTTTCTTTGTTTTTTTTAAGGCTGAGGAAAGATGGAATTCTGTTCCAATTGTGGCATCATTAGACATAAATCAATATTTCTTATTAAAAAAAAGAAAGAAATTGTCATTCCCCGGTCCCAGAATTACTTACTTCATTAAGTTCATGTATTTGATGGCTTCCTTTCTTCTCATATGACAATGACAATAGTTGTTTTGTGGGAATGTTTTGTTGTTTATTCAAGTGTTGATTTTTCCTTTTGCAGTTGTACTGTTTGGCCACAAAGTCTTGCCCTTTAGGCTACCAAAACACACAATGTAAAGAAATGTAAGAATGCTGCTCTCATCTATATTTACCAAGAAGGATCATGGTCCGGTTTTTTCTATTTGTTAAAGTTGGTGGGTTTGGTTTCCTCCGCGGGTGTCAGCACGGATTTAATTACCAGCACAAGCGTGGTCTTGTGAATGTGAAGTTGAAATGGGTGAAAGATAGGGGATTGGATGCTGTTGTGACTGCTGAGAGGGATCTCAAAGCTGCCTGTATTCTTGTTTCCATTATCTCATCCTCACCTCAGTGCTGCCTCCCCATATACCGTCTCTCTTGCCATCGTGGACAACTCAGTCTTCCTTGTGATCTGAAAGGAGCAAAGGTTTATACAAGAAGAGTAAAGGTGATGGTGTAGAAGTGGATCCATATGTTGATGATATCGGTAATAACCAATCCAGTTCCGAAGAGGAGTCAGTTAACAATTTGTTTTATGAGTACGACTCTGATGAACCAGACAAACCTAGGATTCATTTGTGAAGAGGGTTGGGTCCAGAGAGGACTAATATCTTCTGGACACCATATCTTGGATTAATCTCATGATCATCAGCGAGCTGAGAAGATGGGTAGCAGTGGATTCTATGGTTTAGTTGAATGTACAAAGAACGTAATTGTGCAGTTGATTCTGAAACCGAATTATGATGATCACAATTAGGTTGATGAGTAAGAGGATGAGGATGAGGATGAGGATGGTGGTGTAGTTGGTTGATAATACCATTGGTGGGATTGAAGATGAGTTTGGTATTACTGGTAGCGGATGTGAGTAAAAGTAAAAGGAAGATCACCGTCAAATCTTCTAGCCTTATCCCTGTTTTCAAGGGCCCAACAAACCAGACCTGAGAGACAAATCAACACTTAATTAGAAATGAAGAAATTTGAATTGAACAAGAAAGTTGTGTGATCGTTCGAAATAGTATTTCTGTGAAGTGGATATTGGCCAAGAAGCAACAACAACACGGTATATTTAAGGTCTTCTTACAACAGCTTAGGGTAGTCAAGAGTTGAATGAGTGATTAAGGATTTGTATGAGATGTGTGAAAGTGAGGTTGTGGTGTAGTTGGTTGATAATACCATTGGTGGGATTGAAGATGAGTTTGGTAATACTGGTAGCAGATGTGAGTAAAAGTAAAAGGAAGATCACCATCAAATCTTCTAGCCTTATCCCTGTTTTCAAGGGCCCAACAAACCAGACCTGAGAGACAAATCAACACTTAATTAGAAATGAAGAAATTTGAATTGAACAAGAAAGTTGTGTGATCGTTCAAAATAGTATTTCTGTGAAGTGGATATTGGCCAAGAAGCAACAACATCACAGTATATTTAAGGTATTTCTTACAACGGCTTAGGGTAGTCAAGAGTTGAATGAATGATTAAGGATTTGTATGAGATGTGTGAAAGTGAGGTTAGACTTATAATATATGGTTGTATTTTCCATTATTATTTCTCTTCTCTTTGCTGCCACACCAAGTTGATTTTTACTTTATTTTTGTAAAAAATATCATGTTTAACATGACCATAGAATCTTGGAGACAGCAGTAACATCCCTCTTGAATTGTATCCTTTCTGCCATTCATCCTTTAACTCTCATATTATGTTTGGCTGCATGCTTTTCCTTTTATCTTCTTTTGCTAACGTGGTATCATTTCTGCAGCATTCTTGCTATGCTTTAATAGCTATACATATGCAAAATATGCCCACTTATTCGTTCTCCTTTAGGCTAGGCTTATTTGATCTTTTTATGAATGATTCTCTTTATGGTAAAAATACGAGTTATTTAATTACTTTGTACACTAGTTTTGAACTGATATGATTATATTCCGCATCTGTTTTTGCAGTCCAGATATATCTTATTTTGTCTAACCGGTGGTCTTCTGCTGTATTGGTGTAAAGCACCTGCTTCTAATTTTGATTTTCCTGGTCGTTACTTCAAGTGCCACCACCATGTGGATATTGAAATCAAGACATACCAATTCATTAGTGCCTATAGAGCCTCTAAAGAAAGGATTTATGCATGCACTCATTACTGCCATGGCAGAAAATAATGTTGATAACTTAAATGCTGGGGAAATCAGTTATATATGCACTGGTGATTTCCACTATTTTTGTTTCCTGATAGCTGTTTATATTCCATTTTTATGCTCTACTGTATTGAAAAAAGAGCAAAGCTATCATTTTTCTTTTCAAGATTGAGAGAATGTGGTATCATTTCTGCAGCATTCTTGCTATGCTTTAATAGCTATACATATGCAAAATATGCCCACTTATTCGTTCTCCTTTAGGCTAGGCTTATTTGATCTTTTTATGAATGATTCTCTTTATGGTAAAAATACGAGTTATTTAATTACTTTGTACACTAGTTTTGAACTGATATGATTATACTCTGTCTGTTTTTGCAGTCCAGATATTTCTTATTTTGTCTAACCGGTGGTCTTCTGCTGTATTGGTAGTCATTAGAAATGTAAAGCACCTGCATCTAATTTTGATTTTCCTGGTCGTTACTTCAAGTGCCACCACCATGTGAAAATTGAAATCAAGACATACCAATTCATTAGTGCCTATAGAGCCTCTAAAGAAAGGATTTATGCATGCACTCATTACTGCCATGGCAGAAAATAATGTTGATAACTTAAATGCTGGGGAAATCAGTTATATATGCACTGGTGATTTCCACTATTTTTGTTTCCTGATAGCTGTTTATATTCCATTTTTATGCTCTACTGTATTGAAAAAAGAGCAAAGCTATCATTTTTCTTTTCAAGATTGAGAGAATTTATTTTAATAGGAGTTACTGCTAAAGTATAAATAAATGGTTGATTATCATGCTTAGGTTCTTTAAGGTTTTGAAGATATAGATTGATTATACTTCATATGCACTCTGCAAATTCGTATCCTATCAAGTGTAGGCTAAAATCTACTACATGCCTTGGAATCGGAAATTTAGTTTAATTCAATGTCATTGTCCTGTGTGGTGCTGTCGTAAACTCTTCAGATAGTTGTTATTCGATTAGACATTTACTGCAGAATGCAAAATTTTGTGCTAGCTTAACATTAGATTTGGAGAAGTGATTATAATCCTCCATAAAAAATTCATGGAGAGAGAAGGACCATGATGTCATTTTCGTGTTGCCATGAACCTTTTTTTTTTTTCGGTCTGGCTGACAGGTTTTTTTGGTTTATTTTCAATCACAAGGAGAGTACTGTGCAGAACATAGTAGTTGATAGTTACACTAAACTGTGTGCTCCCTTTAGGACAGATGTATAGTTTCAACCTGGTTTGTTATATACCAGCATTCAGTCATTCCACAATTTCACTGAAATGGGACCCGTTGTCTTCTTGCTCACCATAATGCGAAGTTCATTGGCAAGGTACGATTTAAATTGAAAATTTCTATTGGTTATAGTTTAAATGGCTCTGCTGATAACATGTTTGGTATAGTGTCTAGCTCAGGTTCTGTTCCAGAACAATGTCATTTTCATCATTTTCCAAGTACAACATTGCGGAAAGCTATCTGTTAATTATTTTTGTTTGTTAATTTGTTTCAGACCTGAGGAAACCATAGGAATCTGTTTCAGTTGTGGTATAATTACAAACTAGGCGTAGAAGGCCATGTAAGAGGTTTGCAACTGGTAATTCAAGAGCGAAAAGTACTATTAGAAGTGGATGGGCCTTCTCAGAACTCAAACTACGGATTTTAATTTTAGATAGAAGTTGCTTTCACTGAAGCTTTGATTCTCATTGCTTTGCTAAGATAGTGGCATTCAAGACTGCTGTATGAAAGTCCTATGCAAGAACTGGGTTTTGTTCACTGTTATTCCCCCTTTGTTTATTGCCTGGCTGAACTCCAAATTCTGCTGTAAAATGTTAACAACCTGTTTGATTTTGGATAAGTTATAGATATAGTCGATCTACATTAAAGGCTCTGTTTTAATCAATTCTTCATTGTAATTCCAAATATATCCTCACTCATAGCTCTTTGGTAATTTAGCTCATATTGAGACGCAATCTAGCATGTTAGATTTTAACTCAAGTTGCATGTACTTTCTCTTCCTGATGATGTTAACTATATTTATTAAGTATCTTCTAAACTACAAATAGAGGACTATCTTTCTAAACTACAAATAAGCTATTGCCTTCTCTTGAGTGGTTTTTCTGGGTTGTCTTGATTTCCTTTTGGTAGCGTGTAAAGCTAGCTGAAAATTAGTGTGTTGCTGGCTGATTAATAGCTGTTAGTTGATTTTGTTTATATTTTCCTATTTTGTGATTTCCTATCCTGCCAATTTATTGATGATATAAATAAGCTCATTCAAGGGACACTTTGTGGGCCTATTCTGCATTTTATTTCAAGGAGTCGAATTGTATATTTTTCAAGTCTTCATTCATAGATTATTCTTTAAATTTTTTTGACAAATCGTAAACTATCGAGACATCTAAGTGTGATGAAAAAACATTAGGCGATGTGAATGGATGACAAGCAACTCTATAAAAAACAATAGTTTGTGAATATCCTACTATACAATTTTTAGATGTCTCAAACGATATTTCAAAAAAATAAAGTCTCCCTAGTAGGTATACTCCACCGTGAATAGATGACAAGCAACTGTATAACAAACTATGAATAACCTACTATACAAAATTGTAGTGTAGTACCGTAGTACAACCACGTGTTATAGCTTGTCTACATGTTATAATATAATATAAGTGGATATGTATTGATACTATTTCCTAAAAGGGGAAGCATCAACAATGTCGTCCACTCATATTATAACATGAAAAAAGAATTAACACGATATTTTCTAGTTACTTTTCCACTGTTACCAAACATGGAAAATGAATCTTCTATTTTTCATCTCTAAAAAAAGACATGAAAAATTGAGTTTCCATCCATTCCTTTATGTGAACTAAACATGGCCGAGGAGGAAAGTGCCATAGGCATGTTTGGAATGAGAAAGATATCAATGTCAGTGTTCAAACCAAAGACCATCTACATCTACATGGTCAAAGAAATCACCCCTACCACAAATATAATACGTGGATCGAGCCCCAAACCTTTCTCCATAGTTGAATTCGATATATAGTAAAGTGATCATCATCTGAAACCAAATTCAATACAGATATACTTTGGTTAGAAGAAAAAAATAAGAGTAGAGTCAATGTGGACACAAAACTTGCACATGAGAGGACCACCAATATTTATTCCCTAATAAACCCAAGACACAAAGAATTAAAAGCCAAATAGTAGGAAAGTACCCCAAAGATCCCCTAAATCACTATCATTTGCATTAATTATGAATAACTTGGAGAGAATGAAAGCCTTTTTTTTTGGGTCTTTTTATTTGGTGCCAATCTCATGGAGTAGGTTTAAGTGTTGAACTTGGAAATAAAGAAGCATAGCTTTATCATTTGAGTGGGATTTTGCCTCAGTTAAGAGCATCCATAGGGGGTGGGTGTAAAGCCACTTTTACATCCCCTTTAATTATCCGGAGAGTGTAAATACGTTTTTTGCTCCAATGGGAAAAGATGTAAATCTAAGATGTATAATTGTTTTGTTTATCTTAATTCGTTTTTGTGTTAAATTTGTATTTTTGTTTACTTTATAAAATTAATTTTTTTTTGCATTAGGTTAATTTTATTTTTTCAAACAAATAGATCTAAAAATATTTAAATTCGGAGAAGCTGCTGATTCTTCATAATAAAAAAAGCTGCTGATTCTTTATAAATAAAAAAAAGCTGCTGCCTGGTTAGATTCTTCATAAATAAAAAAAAAGCTGCTGCTTAATTCTTCATAAAAAAAAAAAAGCTGCTGGCTGCTGCAAATTCAATTGGCTGTTGCAAACTAGCCGGTGGGGGGGGGGGACATGACAACCAAAAAATTGCCCCGCATGTGAATTTTTTTTTCCAGCAATTACTGTAGCCGGCGGGTCCCAGCCTTTTATGCAGACTTTTCTTCATTTTTCTTCTCTTTTCTCGGGTGGGTCCCGCCTGCAAAAGATGTAAAAATAGATGTAAATGTATATTTTATTTTACATCTCCATGGTGGTGATGTATATTTACAACTCTTTACATCTCCCCATTGGAGACGATTCCAATGACAAGGGGTGTATGTTACGTACACCCCCATATACATCCTCCCATTGTGGATGCTCTAAGTAGTAGATGGTTTAAAGTGGTGTATTTTCTCGCAGACATGGACTTAGCCAAGTTGGTTAGAGCGGATGTGCTCCCCACTCTGCACCCGAGAGTTTGAATCCCCATCTCCATAGTTTAAATTAGATTAAAGTAGAATATCATTTGTATAAAAAAAAAAAATGCTTATGAATAAAGTCAAAATGCAGAATAGTATCATTTACGACTATTATATGTCAAGAACAAATATATGTTTTCTAGTAACCTTCAGCTGTCCAAACTTAAAAGAACCATCCGTAATACCTTGTCCATAGACTACTACCATATGTTATTACCTTATCCATGGTCTTGTAGATTCTTTAACTTCCCGCTTATTCTAGTTCTTCTCTAATTTTAATAAGTAGTAATTAACATGTTTTTTTTAAAAGTTTAAATCAATACGAATACGATGGTATATATATCATATGACTTATAATTTTTTGATCACAGAGTGGGTTTTGAACCCCTCCCCCACTTTATTGCTGGGTATTCCAGCCTCCACTAGAGCAAGCAAGTTTCTTTGTAAATAGTGATGTAATAAGTTTATTTAACCACTTTTTAGTAGAATAAATATTATAAAAAAAATGTTGGGATCTCTGTTTTTTTTTTTCCGCACCACTTCTCTCTCTCTCTTCTTTTTGGACGACTTCTTCTTTTTCCCTTTCTTTCTCTTCTTTCTTCTTCCTCCCTCTGTTTCTATTCTGTCACAGCTTTTCCATTTTCTTCTTCCTCCCTTTGTAAACACTGAAGTCATCGAGCCCAGATCCCGTAGGCTCCGTCTCAGTTCTCTCGCAACCTCCATCTCAGTTCCTTCGCAGCTACCGGTTAATCACCAAAATCGAGAAAACCAAACCGTTTGACCGGTTAACCGGAGTTGGTGGTTCAGCTCCGGTGCCAGAAATCTCTCCACCGAAAGCTCAGCTCTAGTTGAACATAAGAACTCTACAGAGGATAAAAAAAACTTTCTTTTCAGCTTTCATCAATGGCAGGTATGTAAATTTATTTGATTCAAGATCTTCTCCTTGATGTGATTCTATTTGTGTATGCCTAAGGAATTTATGTAATTATTTTACAATATTAACTTACATTTATTGAAAGATTTTGGAGTATTTCCCCAAAGTCTACTTATTTGAAGATTCTTTTGCATATATATAAGATGGATCTCGAACTGAAGCTGAACAACTGAACAAGAGCAACCAGGAGAATTCTGAAGAAAGAAATGAACAAGAGCTTCCGCAAAACGAAAATAGTGAGACCCGGAAGATTCATAGGAATGAAATCAGCTCATCTGAAGGCACAGACGTTGGGGTTTTCAACTTCGACAACGAATATCGTGCAGGCTGTATTGATGGTCTTGAAGCAAGGAGGGGTCGAAACTACAACATTGAGGGCAATAGAATCCATTCAGACAAAGGCCAGCGGGTTGGGATCGGCAATTTTGGCAACAACTACTCCATGTCCAACTTATCATTTTTTCTTGGTGGGCTTATTATTCTAGCTTTTGCTATATATTATATATATAGCGAAGCTAGCGGTACGAACAACAAGAAGGAAATATAAATAAGATAAAAAGGAAAGGGGCTGTTGAATTAATAGGCTTGAATTTCCAAGAAGAAAAAAAACAAGAGATGTATGGTTTGGAAATTTATGGCCACCAGAGCTCCTACACTCGAACTTTTCTCTGAATCTGAATGTTATTTCTCTTATATTTATGTATTTCTTTTCTTCTTCTTCTTCTACATGCCATCAATATATTATATTAATGCTGAGGTTTCCATGCTTCCATTAGTATTTTCAGTGGTTCTTGGTAGTGGATGCGTAATTTTAGCATCATTTTCATTTGTAGAGGGACGAATAGGTCTTCTTGTTGTCATCTCCTTGTGTAGTTGTTCAGGTTCATTTGGAGACCCATCTTATAACAGATAGGGTTCATCATTGCGCTGGGCTAGGCTGACCCAACCCTAAATTTTCGAGTTTGGACTGAGCTAGAGTTGTGCCAATAGAGTAATGAGTGTGATGATGAAAGTTTTGTTCCAGCCTTGGAGGCTTTTGGATTGTCCCAGATCTTTTTTGAGTTTTTATCAAAAATAGCCAAAATTTACCCCATATTTTCATAAATGTCAGTTTTTATAAAACCTTTCAAAAATAGCAAAAAACTCACCTAAAAATACTCAAATGCCCTCAAAACTAAAATCCACAAAAACCTAAAAAAGCAAAACATGGAAACATGCAATCTCTGTTTTCATTTGTATTGGAAGTCACATCGGGTAAGGACTCTTACCCGGTGTATAACTTGGTGTACTGGTGTAGTGTATATACCTTGTTGTTGTGCACGGCTGCTATCTCTGTTGGTAACTGTGATCAGTCCCTAAATTAAGAGAAGCTGTGTTAGCTGTCTTCCTTGTTATTATCAATAGATTAGGCGTGATTCAAGGAGAGATTGAAGGGAGCATTTTTGCTCACCACTTTAATCATAGGTGTACCCTCACCACCATCATCAATACTTGACACGTGTCCATAGATATAACCATAGTTAACTTTTGCTTTATATTTATGGAACTATGGTTATGTCTATGGACACGTGTCAAGCATTGATGATGGTGGTGAGGGTACACCTATGGTTAAAGTGGTGAGCAAAAATGCACCCAGAGATTGAAGCCTGTTTCTTCTTTCCTTGTGTATATATATGTTTAAGTCTTTGTAAAGTGTGTTATGATATATACAAGAAACCTTCTACAAAGTGTTTCTCCTATCAAATTTCCACAATGTATCAGAGCAGGAATTCTAAGGTCCTGACTCTGCATATATATCTTTATCGTGGTTCATTCTTTCTTCACGCTGTGATGGCGGAAGAGAATTCTTCTTTTTATGAAGCGGAGAACTCGCTTGCTGCTTCAAATTCTTCTGACGGTGAGGTTAATCCGAATCAGCGCCTCAGTTCCGTTTTGTTGAACGAGTTCAACTATCTTCCTTGGGCTAGAGCTGTCACACTTGCCCTTGGAGGAAGATCTAAGCTCGGCTACTTAAATGGGGTCATACAGATGCCTGAAGCCACCTCTCCTACTCACAAGTCGTGGCTATGCAAGGACCAGTTGGTCATCTCTTGGCTACTTAACTCTATGGAGCGCAAGATTGCTGAGATTTTCAGCTATTCAGAATCGTCTAAGCATCTTTGGAATCATGTCAAAGAGATGTATGGAAATCAGAACAACTCTGCTCGAGTTTTTCAACTCAAGAGAGATATTGCTGGCTTACTACAAGATAGCAAGCCTTTTGTACAACATCTTGGCAGTTTGACAAGCATGTGGAATGAGTTAGATGTTTATCGACCTCATACCACAGATGCTACTGTGTTGTTAAAGAGGGCTGAGGAGGACAAGATCTTTCAACTTTTGGCAAGTCTGAGTTCAGAATTTGAGGACCTGAGAAGTCACATTCTTATGAATTTTGAGCTCCCTTCCTTCACAAGTGTTTGTGCTACCTGTTTTCATCAGTTGCCATGACAAAGGGCAAATACTATTCATTTTTCGTTTTTTTTAATACCTAAACAATTAATTTGGATAATATTTTTGGATTAGATTTTCGGGTTTATTATAAAATTCATATCTCATAACTCGAATGAATTTTTCAGATAAGATTTTCGATTTCAAATTTCAGATAAATTTCAACTTTCAAATAAGATTTTCACCCTCTAAAATCATGCCACGTGTCATCTCTATCTACCTAAATCTTTCTATAAAACCAAAGGCTCAGCTCATACCTCTCATACCAGATCTTCTCTATATTTTCATTTATCAGATTTTAGAATTCATACTCCATTCTCAATCTCAGAGTCATTTTTTTTATAGGAAAAAGGTTGCAGAGGCGTTTAAAAAGAAAATGAAGAAGAGATACTGCCGTCTTTAAGGTTCACGTTAGTTTAGTTAGGGGTTTTTTTCTTGGGTGGTGCTAGATGCACCAACTTGCTCATCAACTCTCTAATAGAGGTGGAGCCAGCCAATACAACGGGTCCCACGCTCTATTAGAGAGTTGGTGAGCAAGTTGGTGCCTCTAGCATTTTCCTTTTTTCTTTTTAATTATGAGCACGTTTGTTTTTTGTTTTAAAGATGATGTGTCAATAAAAAATCTTCCTGCATACCTTGGAAAGCCGCAAATGATTGAAGACGTCCACATATCTGATCACCATTGGGCCACTTCTAGGACAAGACATGTCTTTACGAGAGGAGATGCCATTGGGCCTCACCCATGGCAAGATGGAGGTAGCGACTGTTCAGAGTATCGTCGCCTTAGGAAACCGCATAAAGCATTCATGACTATCCAGGTATTAATCTCTGATTGGGCCCCTGCTCGGAAGCGACGGATTACCAGAAGCCACGCTTTCAGCCTAGTGGGCTGTGCCTCCCCAGCCCATGCAGACCACCTTCACCATGCGCCTATAAATAGAAGACCCATATGAATTATGAAGGAGGACGGGGGCTGAGAAGATGAATCAAAGCATATTGATCAACTTCACTTTGTGTTCTTTCATATCCCAATCTTTATTTTCATTTTGATCCATGTAACTTTGCACCCCCTCTAGGATCAATGTTTTACGTTGACCACCAGTCAACACTGGTGATTATTCAAATTGCTGCTTTCCAAATTTGATGTACAATGTATTGTAGAATTTTTCCACAAGACATGGACAAGAGTGGCCCTCTTTTGTCCTGCATCTGATCAAAACAAAAGTTCAATGATGATATTTTTTCCACACGGAGTACCTTTTGACTACACTATCCATCATGATTATTTCAGATATATAACAAAGATTAACTTTAAAAATCAACTTATTTGAAGCTTCGTTCCATTGGTAATTGCTTTGGCAAACTATTTTACCTTCGATTTCTTTTCACCTGGTAGGATAGTGCCCGTGTATTTATCATTCTTTGTGTGATTAGGATTGATTTGGTTTGCCTAATTTTGATTTTGCTTAATTTCTTTTTGGATATTGTTAGTTTGTGTTTCTTTTATTTTATTTTATTAAATACTAGCCTCTCCGCACGCACTTCCGTGCCTGCGAGAGGCTTTTTATTTTAAAAAAATTAAAATTTATTTTAGAATTAAAACATATAATGGGTAGTTGTGTTCCATAAAAATAGGCCATTATCTGATTTTTCTTTTAATTTTAAATTTTTTAAATATGAAAAAGTGTGAATTTACCATATTATCCTCATTTAATTAATAATTTCAATTCTACATGTTTGCATTAACCAAGGGCATTTTATGGTATTTTGAATGTTTCACCATTCTCTGCCTTTTGCTTTATATATATAGATACTCGCACAGTCAAGATTTTAAAAAAGACAAAAAAAAGAAAATCTTGAACCTTTCTCCACACAAAGTCCTTTTTTCCAAGACTTTTCCAAGTGTTTTTTTTTTTTTTTTTTGCTGGAAAGACTTTTACAAGTTGATCATTAGGAATATTCCAGATATAACAAATAGTAATAAATAAATCCATGTATATAATAGCAACTTATTCCATTTTCAAGAGGAGGTCCATGCTCTCTTAGACACACGTTCAAAACATCTAGTCCCTATTGCTAATTGAACATAAGAACTCTTCATAGAATAGAAGACTTTTCTTATGAGCTTTCATCAATGGCAGGTAAGTACTATATATTATGATTAATATTTTTATTTGATTCAAGATCTTTTCCTTTATGTGATTCTATGTGTGTATAGGGTTTAAGGAATTTATGTAATTAGTTTACAATGGTAACTTCCATTTCTTGAAAGATTGTCTTCCATATGATTTTAGAGTATTTGCCTCCACTTATTTGAAGATCTTTCCATTTTATCTTTGCATATACATAAGATGGGTCTCGATCTCAATATGAAGCTGAACAACTGAACCAGAGCTCTCAGGAGAGGGTAAGAAACCGCTTTCCTGGTCGTCCTAGAACACTTTCTGGACAAGAGCCCCAAAGAGAAAGAACTGAACAAGAGCTCCAGCAAAACGAAAATAGTGAGGCAGAAAATACTAATAAAAGCAATGAGACTTTCAACATTAATAATAATGATATCTCCGCAACTGGAAGCACAAATGTTGGGATTCAAAATGCTTTCAATGAAGAAGGCAGAGGTGGTGATCAGGCAAGGACGGGTAGAAACCACAACATTTCTGACAATAAAATTCATGCAAAAGACAGCGATAACATTGGGATTATCAACGTTGGCAACAAGAACTACAAATAGTCTAGCGTACCATTTCTTCTTGGTCTTCTTATTCTTCTTGTTCTAGCTTTTATTTTTTATTTTTTTCTCTTTTTATATATTAACGGTGAGTAAGCAAAACAAAAAATGAAGCAAGCGGTATGAGTAAAAAAGAAGGCACGACCAAGAAGAAAAAGAAGAAAAAGAAGAGAAAAATCAGTAAGTGAGAAAGAAAGGTTCAGCTTGGAGTTTCTTGTAGTATTACACAGCGGAAGGGTTTGGAGATGTATGGCCACCAGAGCTCCTATAATCAAACTTTTCTTTGCGTTACTTTCTCTGAATCTGAATCTTATTTTTTCTCTTATATATATTTATGTATTTCTTCTTCTTCTACATGCCATAAGTATATTGATACATGCTGAGTAAGTATTATTTCTTTTTCTTCTTGTGTACTTGCCATAAACATTTCTAAATTCTGTAATATATTTGGGGTTCAAGCTTGTACATAATGACTAGTTTCATGTTGAATTTGATATAACTTAATGATCAAAATAGACATAGACAGACAAGCTATTTCATAAAGGATAACGACATATAAATTATATCATATAATAGTTTTCTGAGCTTTTTCATATGATTTTTCAATTTTGAGCCAACTTTAACTGTTCAAATCGTTAGACATGTTTGAAACTTCCAATGATTTTATGATATTTTCCAAAAAATTTCCTAAAATTTCGAAATATTCCGAATTTGAATGGATGTTGAAATTCTGAAATTTTTGGAACATAATTGGAAAAGAATTTTCATTATGATTTTTTTTGGAATGGGATTGGAATCCTCTTATTCCAATCTGATCCGTTTGAAAATCAGCCCTAGAGAAACATATCCTTTTCACTCTCCCTTCCTCCCTTGAAGAGGAGGGGAGAGAGGTTTAGGGTAAATAAATTTCACTTACAATAGGACTAAATAAACTGATAAGTAACCAAAATCCTAAGTAAGGAACCAAAGTTGACTCGCCAACAAGTCTTGTCCTCCATCCTACCGTAGTGAGAGTCGATGTCGGCGGTACATGTAACTTTTTAATCTTCACTGTGATTGAATGAAGATTATGCTTATAATTCTCCTACAACTATATAAAACTGTTATTAGAGAGCTTGGAGGAAGAGAGAAGAAACAATCATGGGTTAGACTGAAATTGGTTCGTTTTAGGGTTTGATGTTGATAAGCCATAAATCTAGAGATTCATTTGGGACAATTAAGCCTTCATAAACTGTTTGTGTTTAAGATTCAAAAAGAGTTATGCCAAAATAGAAAGGGACACGTACGGAATGCCAAGACACAGCAATGTCACAGCACGGGCAGGTTTTCAAACCCTATCATATATGTATTTGAATACGTGAAGTGTGAACAAAACTCTTGTTCAATCTTTTTTTTTTTGGGTCTGAATTTTTATTTTAGTTTTTTTTAATTCGGCATATTATTTTGACTTTTCAATTTCTTTTTAGGTTAGTTAACATGCGGGTACTGTATGAGATATTTCTTAGAATGAACAAGAATTCTTTGCAGAGATTCGCAACTTTCTTTTTTGTTTTTGTTTATTTATTTATTATGGTACTAGAAATGACTTTCAAGATATCAATATGGAAATATACATGTGATTCATATACATTTCAAGATATCAATCATTAATCGAACGAAAAGGCGCATATGATGACGACAATTTGTGTTTTATCCACTTTCGTTGATTGGGTTTCTATTCAAGCAATGCAGGTAAGGTACCGTAACATGCCTACCGTAACATGCCTACACCTTTTCCTTTTATAATTACACTACAGATTTTCTTACACGAATTAATGATGTGTTTCAGAATAATGCTATTTGAACACACTTAATGAAAACCTTTATCTGTGCTCGGTTGCTCAAAACCATGGTTCTTCATTGACATGAAACAAAATAGTACTTGTGGACAAGAAGACATAATTCTTACTCAGCATTAACAATATACTTATGACATGTAGAAGAAGAAGAACAAGAAATACAGAAATATAAGAGAAATAAGATTCAGATTCAGAGAAAGGAAACTCCAAACCAAGCCTCTCCATTCTTTCTCACTCTTTTTTTCTTCCTGGTCGTGCCTTCTTTTTCACTCGAGCCGCTTGCTTCATCTTATTTAGTTTTGCTTACTCACCTTTAATTTATATAAAAGGAGTAAAAGAAGAAGAACAAGAAGAAGAAGAAATAAGATGGTCGACTTTTTGTGGTTTATGTTGCCAAAGCCGGTAATCCCACAACTAGTGCTTCCGATTGAAACAATTAAATTGTCATCATTGTTGAAGTCTGCACCCGAATCTCCATTCCCGTATCCGGATATCCCAGACCCTGTGCTAGCTTCTGAGAAGATTCTATTCCCAGTATTGTTGAAGCTCGTGCGTTGTGCGCTGCGGCGGGTTCTTGCCCTCCCCTCCTTCTCCTTGAGCGGTTGTTCAGCTTGATCTCGATTCCAATCTTATATATATGTTAAGAAAAAAATGGAAAGGATGATAAAATAAGTGGACTTTGGGCAAATGCTCCAAAATCAGTTAAAAGAAATCTTTCAATAAATGGAACTTTATTTGAATCAAATAAATGGAACTTCATTTGAATCAAAGAAAAAAATAGTACTAGTGCATACCTGCCATTGATGAAAGCTCAAAAGAACGCCTTCTACTCTCTGTAGGGTTCTTATGTTTTGAAGGTGAGTTTCTAAGAGAGGATGGATCTCTTTAAAAACAGTTGAAAGCTTGTGTGGAGAAGGTGAGGATAAAAATGGAAATAACAAAATAAAAAAAGTCCTGATAATAATCAACTTGGATTAGTCAAGACTCAAAAGGTAATTTATGTGGGCGGAAAAATTTCGTTTTTCCTATTGGTGTTCATGTTTCTTTCACATTATGGGACATAAAAAATGTTGTAGATCCAAATTGAAATGGTGAAGGCTGCTACTAATATTAAATAAATTATCTTTAGACAAATGTAATCGCATGATGATAAATGCTAATTAATTATGTAAACTTTATTAATCATAAACAAATAAAAACACTAACCCCTCAAATTTTTATTGTTATCATCAAATTTCTAAAAACACTAAACCCTAGGAAGTTCACACCCACATGCGCCAAAGTCTTTTACTCACTTCTATTCTTTATTGAACTTACTAATGGCGTGTAAACTGGTGTTGAGAGAGTACTAGTGTGAAAGGGTGGACTTAGGGTTAGGAGAGGGAGTGTTCGGTTGAGGAATTTTTTCAAGCAATTGATCAAACCTTAAAAGGGGCAAATGGAAGTAAAACGCTTAAAATCAAGACTACTGGTGCATTCACTAGATTGGACTCTGAGGGCTCGTTTGGTACGCCTCCTTAACTTGGACTGGATTGGAATAATTTTTATCCCATGTTTGTTTTCACTGGTTCTAGTTTTAAGTGGGACTGTTAATACTGGCCCCACCAAAAACACCTCCTTAGGTGTTCTTAGTTAATCCCGCTTGGAAAGGGCGGACTAGACAGTCACGACCCAATCGCTTGCAAAAACCAAAGCACCTGCAACCACCCAAGCGCTAGCCAACCACCAACCACCCAAGCGCCATCCATAACCACCGATAACCCGAGCACTTGCAACCAATCCAAACCCCCACCGTCACAGCCATACGCAGCAACCCCAATCCACCATCACAGCCACACGGTTCTAGTCAGTTTCGACGAGCACCATACGTTTTGACTTCCATTCAAAACTCAAATAATAAGAGAATCCACAATTGCAGCCATACGATTTTGGTACGCATCAATGGCAGACAGGACTTCATAGCTTGAGGTTGCAGGAGACGGCGACGGCCTCTTGAGCAGAGGGAGAAAAGGAGAAGAAGAGAATACCGTAAAATAGGAAAATGAGAGAAGATTTTCGAGCAAAAAAAAAAGAACAGATAAAAAAAGACTGAGAATAAGAGGAGAATGAGACGATGACCACCACTGTGCTAGGAAGGAAGCGGGCTGTGCGCAGGAGAAAGAAAAAGAAAGAGACGCAGAATGAAGAAAAGTTTTATATGAAAATAATAAAAAATTCACATTCTTGAAATAAAAAAATAAAAAAAATGCATTCACTAGATGGGACTCTGATGGGACTGAATCTAATGGCAGATATGTAGTGACAATATTCAAATATGCTATATCTCATGCTTTTTTACCAGGTGTGACACGAACCTTGAAATTCTTAAAGCAAACACCCAAAATAAAAAGTGCAAAAATATACAAAAAAATCTTGCATTTCCTCCTCAAATTATAAAAAATGACTATTTGTTCCTGCATGGTACTCCTTTCACACAACCTAGGTAGATTTATGTCATTTAGAACAGAGTTAAAGGTATGGGTGAAGTGAGAGTGTGAAGTTTTGTTTAATGATACTTTTCAAGTGTCCAAAAAATTGATATACTTTTATTTTTACTTTTTTATATATAAGCCATTCACCTCATTGTGGTAATTTTAGTTGTCATTTGTGAAGAGAAAAATTTTACTTGTCATTTTATTACAAACAAATTTAGGAGCTGCAAAGGTATCTTCCTACATACCTTGGAAAGTCCCGGCCAACCACCCCGAGGGATGCCTCACTCAGAGACTTAGGAGCTGCAAAGGATTGAAGACGTCCATGTATCTGATCACTATTGGGCCACTTCTAGGACAAGACATGCCGTTACGAGAGGAAATTATCAATCATTCTGAGAAGAAGAATCAAAGCATATTATCAACTTCACTTTGTGTTCTTCCATATCCCAATCTTTATTTTCATTTTGATCCATGTAACATTGCACCCCCTCTAGGATCAAAGTTTTACGTTGACCACCAGTCAACACTGGTGATTATTCAAATTGCTGCTTTCCAAATTTGATGTAAAATGTATTGTAGAATTTATCCACAAGCATGGCCACTTATAAATTGCTGTCCGGCCCCCCTTTGCATTAGGACAAGAGTGGTTCTCTACTGTCCTGCGTGTGATCAAAACAAAAGTTCAACGATCTTTTTTCCACACGGAGTACCTTTTTGACTGCACTATCCATCGTGTATTTATCATTTTTTGTGTGATTTGGTTGCCTAATTTTGATTTTGCTTAATTTCTTTTTGGATTGTTTGTTTGTATTTCTTTTATTTTATTTTTATTAAATATACTCACACAGTCAAGTTTTGAAAAAAAAAAATTGAAATCTTGAGCCTTTCTCCGCACAAAGTCCTTTTTTACAAGACTTTTCCAAGTCTTTTTTTTTTTTTACTGGGAAGACTTTTCCAAGTTGATCATTAGGAATACTGCAGAATATAACAAAGAGTAATAAATAAATCCACATATATAATAGTAACTTATTCCATTTTCAAGACGTGGTCCATGCTCTCATGGAAACACACGTTCAAAACATCTAGTCCCTATTGCTAGTTGAACATAAGAACTCTACAGAGAGTAGAAGACTTTCTTTTGAGCTTTCATCAATGGCAGGTATGTACTATTATGATTAATATTTTTATTTGATTCAAGATCTTTTTTCTTGATGTGATTCTATGTGTGTATAGGGTTTAAGGAATTTATGTAATTAGTTTACAATCGTAACTTCCAGTTATTGAAAGATTGTCTTCCAACTGATTTTTGAGTATTTGCCTCCACATATTTGAAGATCTTTCCATTTTTATCTTTGCATATACATAAGATGGGTCTCGATCTCGATATGAAGTTGGAAAAAGAAGCAACGAGACTTTCAACATTAATAATAATGATATCTCCGCAATTAGAAGCAAAAAGGTTGGGATTCGCAAGGCTTTCAACAAAGAAGGCAGAGGTGGTGATCAGGCAAGGACGGCTAGAAACCTCAACATTTCTGGCAATAAAATTCGTGGAGAAGACAGCGATAGCGTTGGGATTAGCAACGTTGGCAACACGAACTACAACAAGTCGAGCGTACCATTTCTTCTTGGTCTTCTTATTCTTCTTGTTCTAGCTTTATTTTTTTTCTCTTTTTATATATTAACGGTGAGTAAGCAAAACAAAAAATGAAGCAAGCGGCTTGAGTGAAAAAGAAGGCATGACCGAGAAGAAAAAGAAGAAGACAAAAATCAGTAAGTGAGAAAGAAAGGTTCGGCTTGGATTTTCCTGTACTATTACGTAGCGGAAGGGTTTGGAGATGTATGGCCACCATAGCTCCTATACTCAAACTTTTCTTTGCGTTACTTTCTCTGAATCTGAATCTTATTTCTCTTATATATATATTTATGTATTTATTCTTCTTCTACATGCCATAAGTATATTGATACATGCTGAGTAAGTATTATTTCTTTTTCTTCTTGTGTACTTGCCATACACATTCTGAATTCTGTAATATATTTGGGGTTCAAGCTTGTACATAATGACTAGTTTCATGTTGAATTTGATATAACTTAATGATCAAAATATACATAGACGGACGAGCTATTTCATAAAGGATAACGACATATAA